AAGTCTCTGAGACTCTCCGTGTCCTTGATACTCTCAGCTGGCTTGTACTTGGACATATCCTCCTCCAACTTGATGATTCGCACATCGGGAATGTCAGAATCTTTCATTCCAAAGAACTCAATGATTCTTTTATGCTCTTCTTCGTCTGTGTCGATATGCACGAAGAGGATCCTGTCTCGTACTTCTTTCGCAACTTCCCGAGCTCCTTCGATGAGTGCTTGTGTTTTGTCGTCCTTGTTTCCAGCGAAGATCAGAACGTGAGATTTGATATCGCCACCGAAAACTTTCTGCGCAGTGTCTTGTTTGAACTCAACGACCAATGGCAAAGCGTTGGTTCTTACGAACTTGACGATGGCATCAGGAGTGATTTCTCCTTCGAAGAGGGCCTTTCCGTCATCAAACTGTTGAATAAATAAGAGTGATGCGTCGAATCAATGAGCTGATGCAAAGCAGTGAGAAATTAAAGAAGGAAAACTGAAAATTTCTCAAGATTAATGCATAATCGCTTTCACGTTTTCGAGTTTCAGTATCAATGCTGAGAAACTAATTAAAACGCTATATACCGCGGCAAGGACATACAAGTACTGTATATGGTTAGGTTACCACTGGAAAAAGTGCTAACCTGCATCGCAACCCCTGTCATGCAGAGTTTTATTAGACAATACATGTCAAATAGTTGTGAGGCTTTGGTTATTACAATATATACAAAATAATTATTGAATGACCACACGCGGCATCTATATAAATAAAAGGCATGCATACAGAGCTTCGCTGTACATCCAGGACACTACAAGATGAAATGTCAGTCGATTTAAAATTACCGCAATTCACAGAAACCTTCTGTCCTTATTCGTACGATAATCATTACAGTAGTTTCAGCTGAACGGGGTTCTTCGCCTTATACACAAGCTGCTTCCGTAATATGTAGAAGCAAAACCCTCACCTTCTTCAACATGATCACGGAGTTCTCGGACAATTTGTGCTCGTCGGCGATTTGCTGCAAGTCGGTTATGGCAAAGGGGTAATCGTCATTCGAAGCAGCAGCTTCCACGAATGCTTTGGCAGCAGAGCCTGCGAGATCTTTGAAGAATCCAA